TGTCACCCTAGGGAATCTGGGGTATTTATTTTTGAATTTAACGGCCCATATTCTGGGACGCTGCACTAGGTGGAACTGTCCTGTGCCATGTATCCATAACCACAGGGGAACACCTGCAGTCTATCGATCTTACCTCAATGTTTACTTAATAATAATTGTAATAACACTAATAAGTTTTATTCTTATCATTATTATTGTTGTTATTATTAATACTAATTTTGCTGAGAATGACCTTCTGTTGACTACAATTCTTTAAAACACTTATAAGGCTGCTACAGTGATGGATAAAATGAATGTGCATCCCTCCTTGCAGATGCTCCCATTCCTCTCCTCTTTTCTTCTGTCTATCCAGTGAACGATCCTTCAGTTCTGAACCATTAGAAAACACTTAAAAGTGCCAAGTGTGTGGTCAACAGCTGCTGCAGATTAGCAGAAGTGTCGCTCCTCAACTGACTCTTTTCCACAGACTAATCCTCCCTCGACCCTCCTCCTCCTCCTTATCCTTCACCTTCCTCTCCTTGCCCCCTGTCTTTCACGATAGCATCATAATTAAACAGACACGAACACTTGGCGCCCGTCTTTCTCCGTCTCCCCTCACTAAATAGCACAGGCGCAGCTTCAGAAGCAACCTACAGTAGTCGATGCTCAACTTTGGGTACAACATCCGAACGCAGCAATGAGGAAAGGAAGCATGAAGGAGAAAGAGTGACGGAAATGAATGCTTACCTGAGAAAGACCGTCTCCCCCTGACGCACGGTGATGTTGTCCATCACTTTGTTATCGGACTGAGAATCCACTTGACTGCGGACCGGCAACCCTGCAGGCACAAGAAGCAGAATCCTCAGAGACATGAGCAGGACGCATCTGTAAAAAGCCACCAGGTGTCCCCGGACAGACATCGTATCCTGCTTCACAGACGTGCACGGAATGAACCGCACAGCAAGACGTAGAGTCCGCAACTGTCCGCCGCGTTAGGAGACGCGCGCACACAAACATACAACAGAGCTCCACAGGGGATTATTCAGATGCACAACATTAGTCCTAATCCACACCGTGTGGTCAGGGACTGACGACGCGTGCCCAGAGACCAGATCTGTCTGCACTGTGACAGAATTATCAACAACAAGCCAAGCCACACTTTATTTTATTAAACCTCAACAGTCAAAAACGGACAAGAGAAAACTGTCCCTGAGTACTGTTACTGCAGAACCCAGCGTCTCTCTTTCCTCACAAAGTTGAGTGCAGTGACGCTCCTAGCCTCTTTGGAGCCCTGGGCCAAATAGCCCCCGCCCCTGATCTCGTAGAATCCCATTCTGCACTGCCCAGATATATAGATCGTTTTTGTTGGCATGGACTTTTTTAGTAGCACCTATAAATTGAATCAAAAGAAATTTGGAAAATGTTGATTAATATAAAATAAATAAAAAATGCGTAGATTTAAAATAAAAAAATACAGGAGATCATTATAAAAACCTTAAGAAACTGCAACAAATATAATAAGTAAATACATTGTAGAAATACATGTAAAATATATTTATGTCATATATAAATACAATGTAACAAATAAGTCTTTCATCAAGTCAATCAGTGCATATGTATTTTTTTTTACTAATATTAATGTATTAAATTCAGCTCTTCTTCTTCCACAGCCTGTTTATGAGACCATTCTTCTGACAAGCCTGCATGTCATGCAACAGCAAAATGACATATGACTCATATCAGAAACAGGAAGTGGTTGTGTTCTATGTGCCATAGACTTGTAGTTGCGTATAAGTTTGACAATCATTGTTAGATGGTACTTTCACGTCTAAACTGCTCAGACACGGCAGGAAGAAAATTTGAACTAATAGTGGGTGATGGTGTTGTTCATCATCTATTCAGAAATGGGAACGCCTCAATGAAGATAAGAATTTCTTTTCTTGTTAAACCAAAATATAGACCAATGGTTAACCTAGAAAGCATCCTATATAAAGTATATAGACTATTTTCATTCAAATTAACCCAGGCACTTGTGATAATAAGGCTTGAAAGTTATTTAATCAAATACAGTGGTCCCGCTCATTCCCATTTAGCTCCCTCAGTACAATGCAGATTTTTTTTATTCCAATCTCGCTGTATTGCAGTATTTTCCGGTAAATATTTAATTTCCAATATTTGTATTTATAATTTAGTGATAACAAAAACATTTCTAAACTAAAAAAAGTAAACAGTAAAAATATAGCAAAAATAAACTAAAGTACATCGCTGGTAGCTCTGTTTACCTAGAGATCGAACACAGCATTGATGCTCTTCTGTTCCTCACCCTGATTAGCTCGTGCATCGTAGCATCTCTCAGCATCTTCCCTTGTCACTTTGCTTTGCGCAGCTAAATAACGCGCTGCTGTAAAGTTTGTTCTCTTGTGTTTGGTGAAAGTTTACCCTAATTTAACGACGCCTCCTAAACACTCTGGTCATCTTCTCAGGCTTCTGTTACTAAACCCAAACGGAGACGCTGACACTGCCTTTAACAGCCTTTATTTTTTCTTAACAATAATGTGCGCCCCTGTGCTTTCATATATGGCCCGTCTATGCACTACTCAGTTAACTCTCTTCACTCCTTGGTCCTGGCTTCTATTATTAAGGAAGAGGCTTAATTACTCTAATTGTGCTCACCTGCGGCCGTGGCTGCACCTGCGTCGCCACTTCCGTGCTCTCCCTCCTGCAGCTGAGCGCTCTCTTCCGCCGCGCCCCCACAATGTGTATTCAATTTAGTTACGTAATATGTATGTCTTATATTTCAATTATACAACTCTACTGTGCATGTAATTATGTGGGCGATAATAATACAGTCTAGGGAGGATTCGTAAACTGTAAATATATACGTAAATAATATAAAAACTACTTTGCATCTACTTCGCGGATTTTCCCTTTTCGCGATGGGTCTTGGAACGCAACTATCGCGAAAGGATAGGGAGTATTGAATACACAATGAGGTATTCTGCAAAAAATACGTTTTAAAATAAGTCCTTTTGATGTGTCAGGAGATGCAGCCCAGACAGGAAGTGCTGCACTGGTTAGCTTAAATATTAATTTTGGATAATTTGGTCTCTTTTATTCTCTCCTCTTTTAGTGCTAGGACCTTTTCCTTTATCACTATGTCAAATGGTTAAGATAACACTTGAACAAATAATACCTAAAAAGTACAAAAAATGGGGAAAAAAAATTAAAAGCTCTTGTTAAAAGTTTTTTGTTTGGCGCCCACCAAGGTAAACTTCACTAAATGTCACCTTTGCGGTTATAAAAGTTGGGATTTTCTGAAATACAAAAAGTTCAATTGTACAATCTTAAAATGAAAGACATCATATTGAGAAATAGCTATTGATATATGAGAAATAGCTAAAAAATATAATTGCTTCACTAATAATTGCCAACAACCACCGCTTTAAAAAATTAGTTAGAATGTTGTTTGGCTCCGAAGGGAAACTTACACAGGAGTACATCAAGCTGCTCATCATCATCAACATCTTATGTAATACTGGAGCAGCTACCTGAGCAGAGAATCCCTGTGCAGTCTTATTGGATGGAACTGTCACTAAGCCATGTGTAAAAAAAAAAAAGCCACTTGAGATGCGATCATCACACTCAGAGCTGATTGAACCTCCTAGAACCTACCACCTCTGTCAATGTGATGACGTTAAACTACTGGTCAACTTGACTTGGAAAGAACTGGGATGTCATTAATGTCCTGCAAGGAACAGTGTGGCAGTAAATATTAGTTTCTCTGACATCCTTGTTGTGTTGTTGACAACCCTGGTCATGTTAAAACAGTAAGGTTCAACAGCTATACAAGACCCCGCAACCAGGAATGAAATCTGCGGAAATATAATTCATTAACTTTAACACTTTGACAACTTGTGAATAGAAAAACAGAAAAACTGCCAAGATGCCAGGTATATATATATCATGTGGCTCCATGTCACAGATGAAAAAGTATCATAAACAATATCATGTCCATTATTTACAGTGCATGTGAACAGAGGTGCAATTAACCTGACAAGGGTTTGGTTTGGTTAAGGTTTTGTAGAAGAGATTGAAATGGATGTGTAGTAGACAGTTAAAGTTACAGTATGTGGAGATAGCATTAAAACATACTGTGGATGGATGACTATTTTGAGCATGAACTACAGAATCATGTCTTCACCAGCTGTTTCAAGATAATCAGTACAAGTCGTAGCAACAGGTTAGCTCATGCCACCCTCTTCCACACACCAGGAGATCAGAGTAGACTGCCACTAAGTATCTCTGTTCTCATTACCTATTAAAGTCCCTGTATAAAAAGTTGAATCCCAAACAGCGTGTCTCTGAAGTTTAATTTTTAAGATTTATTCATTATTGTGTATCAAAACGAAACATAATGAATCTGTCTACAGGCCCTTGTAATCCATGTGGCAATTTAGCTCATGTCCTGAAGTTGACGCCTCCACAGACACATACTGGTCAGTATGTAATTCAGATGGTATTATAAGCTTGAGGTGAAACAAGAACATTTTATTTTTTAACACATTATGCACAAATAATGTGTGTATTGACTGTGTGTTATAGTAGCAAGATGTGAATGGATGGAAAAATTATTAAACATCTGTCCATGTCATTCTGCCCATGCGTTAAAATGCAAAATTTATTATGATGATTAATTGCACAAAATTATAAATGTGATCAACTCTAAAATCTAAATCTGGGTTCAAATTTGGGTGAATACAGTGTCCATGGGTACAAGTGTTAAAAAAGGTTTTATGTTTTTAAAAGAAGTTGCATACTTTAAGTAGATGTAAAAATAACGTGGCTAGACTCCTGAAAGACAAAGTAAACCTCCAAAGTACTGTAGCTACCTTAGAGATTTTTCTGACACACAAAGTCTACGACACCAAGTAAAACAATATTGTAGTCATGACAGCACTCACACCCAGCAGCAGACCATTTTTATAAAGATGGACAATTCAAATATGAACCTTCACTACATACATTGTTATTGACGAGAAAACACCAGTGGAGTGTAAAGAGTAAACAGCTGCAGTATGCAGTGTGCTCCAGATAAGATGAACACACTTTCCAAGAGACTGAGCTGAACAGTGTTAATAAAATAGCTTCACTGCCACTATACTGCAAAAATCCATTTATGATTCACTGGATAGTCTGAACACTAACATTGGATGGATGAGTCATTAAGTGACCAGCCTGCTCACAAGTGGCATCTCACAATTAAATGTAAACATAATGTCTGAAGGAGCTGCAGGAACAATCATTAAGCTACATTTTCCTAGAAATAATGTCACATCTCTGAATGGATGAAAAATCAGAAGCAGAATTTTTGTCCAAGCAGAGATAGTATTTATTGGAATCTCTTTGGTTAATATTCTATCATATAGTCTCCACTTCGGGAAACGATGGTAGGGATGAAAATACTTTGTGGTTTGGTCCCTGCCTAAAGCTCTTCTACCACTTCACACCAGGGTAGTTATGGCTAATTGATCATAAATTGATATCATGCACATTTGGTGTTGAAAATATATCATATAACCTTTATATCAAAAAATATTAAATTGTTTTTATGGTATTTTATTGTGTTGGTTTACACAATTAATTAAAAGTTGCAGGAGAGTAAAATAAGTCTAAAGAAGCAAAGGTTTTTATGAAGATATGAAACTCCACAGCTGTTGTGACTAGATGGTCCTGTGGAACCACACATAATGGAACTGATTTTTTTTACAAGTATGCAAGATATTATATACAGCATATCACACATATGTCATTAAATGACATTTTGTGTATTTATAAATA